TTGTTTGCAAGCGTACAATAGCATTTTGGTGAGAATTTTACAGAAAAAAGTTATTCGTGGTGGAATTCAAGCGTAAGTGTAATTTCTTTATATTTGGCTGGAAAAGCACAAGTGGCTATCGTTAGAGCACTCCAGTATTTAAATGTGAATAAATCATTTGTGTCTCGTACCATCGCTTGTTACCGTGATACACGACGTCAAGGAAGTGGACGGAACAAAACATCAACATCAGCAGAAATGGTTCGAAAAGTAAAGAATTGACTTGATCGAAACCCGCGTCGCAGTGGCCGAAAAATGGCTCGTGAGCTGAAACTATCACAATATTCTATTCGAATATTTGCTTCGCTTGGCCCAAAGTGGTGAAATGCCGAATTTGGTTTTCTCCGATGAGAAAACATTCGGTTTGTAAACAAACAAAATGCTCGTGTTTATTTGCCAAAGAGATCAGCTGAAAATGTACACCTTCGGTTGGCCTTTAGAACTCAAGTGCCGGCCGTGGTGATGGTGTGGGCCGCCATAACAGCCGATGGTCGCTCTCCGCAATGACCACCAAAATCTCCGGATACCAATCCGTTGGACTATTGTGTCTGGAGTATTTTGGAAAGCAAGGTTGTCACTAAAAATACGAAAGTGTCGATCACCTCAAGCAAGCGCTTCGCCGGGAATGGGCCAAATACCGCAGAGCAACATTCGGGCAGCGTGTGACGATTTCAATAGCTGTTTGATGGCCATAATTCGTGCCAAAGGTGGCCAATTCCAAATAATCTAAACTTATTCTAAATTTGATGCTATTTTCAACATTTTTTGCTTTCATTCAATAAAATTAAAAAAAAATGAAAAATTATGTCGTTTGACTTTGTTGCAGTTTTTTTATCTCACCCTGTAGATATTATTATTTATCTCAATATTATTATTTTTCCAAATTAAGTACGATTTAGTACAGTTATTGTACACATATCCAAAAACAGCTCAATCACAAACATCAACAGTTACATCCATATCCAATTTCAATCCTATCTCGTCACCTAATACCAAATAAAGTAACATTTAGTACGCATATCCAAAACAATATACATCTCTCACCAAAAATCCTTTCGAACAATTATAATGTACGCTTTTTCAAAACCACCTTCATATGTCCAGGCTACACATGAACAGCGACCCTAATTCCAAATTTCAGAATTCAAGCACTATCAATACCAAATTGTACCAAATATAGTATTATTTAGTAGTTTTAGTGCCGTTGTAGCACACATTTCTAAAATCAGCCTTAATTCTCCATATTATAACTAAGAGTGCCCGAATGCTAAATTAATAATTTTAAGCAATATCATTACCACTTAGTACTTTCCGTATGCTTGCTGAACAAATTTCCAACCCCAACTCTTTATCTTAACCCTACCCACCAGCAGTGATCCCAATACCAACATTTGAAATTGCCAGTTTTTTCCTTTGACCCAAAACGGAGTTGTACCAAATTGAGTAGCATTTAGTACAGTTTTCAAAATTGATACTCATAACAAATCGCAAGATTTTTACCTCTATCCGCTCACATAATTGTAGTTCTACACAACATTAAAAACTTTTACTCCAAATATCAGATTTCCATTCCTGTTCCCAAATATCACAATAAATACTACCCCTACTATACAAATTCCCCTACTATGTATCAAGCAAGCCGCACAAAGGGTGACCCAAATTTCAAAATTTAGACTTCCAACTCAATTCCTTATCCAAATACCAAATTTAATATCATTCATTACTTTTTTGTACGTTTATCCAAAACCACCTCCAAATCTCAACCCTACACACTAAGAGTTAACCTAATGATAAATTTTATATTTCAAGCAGTATCCCCACCCACCAGCAGAGATTCCAATACCCACATTTTTAATTTCCATCCGTTCAACCAAAACAAATATTTACGAATTTAGTACAATTTGTACAGTTATTACACTTAGTACACATTTTCAAAAACACCTCTTTATATCAACGACATTTCCCAAAGTTAATTGTTATACCAACTGTTAAGATTTTGGATGTATCCGTTCACAAAATACCAAAAGGGACGACATTAGGCGCTTTCTAGTACCTTTAGTACACTTCTAATTCGCATTTTCAAAAAGCCAGACTCATCTCACTCCTACCCACTAACATTGACGAACATGCAAAATTTCAAGGTTTCAGCTTCAGCAGCGAATCAGTTAGTCACTCACTCACTTTTTACTCTTATATATACAATTAGTACCATTTAGAACATATCCCAATCCAGCACTTCAAGAGTATCCTTTTTTCCAAATTTCAGGATACAAGCTCTATTGCTTCTCCCAAAATTTTACACCGTATTCAAAACGTTATTTAAGTCAACTTAAACTACATGCAAGTCACCAAAGGGGTTATTTTTATCATTTTTTTTTTATATGACTTTAAACTGCCAAGTCAACATTTTCTACAAATTTATTTGTCATAAAATTTCACTATAGCTTCCAGAATACTGAAAAGTCTAAATCTTACCCAAACGCGAGTAATTCATTAACACTGAAAACACATTTGAATTATTGTATGTTTATGAAAAATTCTCCTATAAAACCTCATTGTGGAAGGATGACCTAAGAGACGAAAATATTTTTCATCAAATTTAACAAAATTTTGACGGGATAGTTGCGGAAAGTTGAAATAAAACATACAATTAAAAATAAGTAAAAAACATTAATTTCTGCCGGGCCAAACTTTTAATACCCTCCACCATTGGGTAAAGAAAACAATTTTAGATGAAAGTATCTGAATTCAAACATGTTCCACTTTATACTACAAATACAAGTAAGACTGTTTGGATAATGCTGTTACACTTTTCAAAAAACCATAAGATGGGCGAGACCGTTATATGAAGGCCATACCAGGACTGGAACCTCTATTGTCAATTTTATACTTTAAGGATTGTCATCTACCTAATCTTCTTAAATACCAATTTTGAAACTATTTCGTGGGTATATGTGACTAGTTTATCAACATTTGGAATATCGGTGGGTATGGTTATATCTGCGCTATAGGAAAACGTGGAGCTAAATATTTATTGTTCTGCCACCGGAGAACCCATTTAGAACTACAAATACCAATTTTTAGACAAATCCGTGGAAATATGTGGAAAATCATCAAAATACGGAGCATCGGGAGGTACCGTTATGTGGGGGCTATACAAAAACGTTGACCTATATATACTTTATTTCGCCACCGAAGCTAGAACCCATTACGTTTTGCAAATTCCAATTTTTAGACATGCAGATGAGCTCGCATCAATTGACGCATTGTAAGACAACATTGAAGCATTAATTCATGAGATACCGGCCGAAATATTGGAAAGAGTAGACCAAAATTGAGGCATTTCTGGGCTGTATCTGATATCAAACATCATTATTGTGGGGGCATACAGGGTTGCCCATATTCGACGGACCCATCTGGCAACGCCATAACTTTTGACAGAGATGTCACATCGCTTAATGACATACGCGTTTGAAGCGTCAGTTCAAGCAGATTTTTACCATGAACCAATACACGCCACGCGAGCGCTCTGAAATAGTTGAAATTTACATTCAACAGAAGAAGTCAATTGTGAAAACTCAACATGCTTTAAAACATTAATGTGAGAAGTGCGCCTTCTAAGGGACCGTAAATAAGCAAAATTGCCGTTTTTACGCCACTGAAAATCCTCAGGAGATTCAAGAAGTGCCTCTTCATGACGAAAAAGTCACAGTTCGGTGCGGCGTTAGTGCGAAAACGGTATGAGGCAGTTCTGGTTTCAACAAGTCGGCGCTCCACCGCACACAAGTCGCATAACAAAACATGGGTCTGTCGAATATGGGCAACCCTATTACGAATGTGAGAGAATTAAACACCAAATCAGATGAAACATATATATGGGAGCTATAGCTATATCTGAACCGATTTTCACTAAATTTGATGTACTTGCTTCTAGTCTGAATTTGGTCGGATGTGCAAAAATTCAGGTCATTTGGACTTATATTGGCCATTTGGTGCACAATTAACCCGAAATCGGTTAAAGATATATGGGAGCTATATCTAAATCTGATTCGATTATCACCAATTTCCTTGGGCCAAACAAATATTGTTTGCAAAATTTCATCTCAATCGGATAATAAATGAGACCTGCATTTTGTTCACAATAATATATGGACGGACGGACGGACATACGGACTGACATGCATAAATCAGAAAGTGATTCTTTGAATATCCTCAAAAGTAACTATGCATCTATCTCGCTTCCTTCTTCATTTTACAAACAAATGCACAAAGACATAATACCCTTACCACTATCATTATTTTTTTGATAAATTTTTCCCGGAGTTTTTTTTTTCGAGTTGAAGAATGAAAGTAACAAACAATATCGTTATAGACAAAATTGGATGTAATTGGCAATTTGGGATTTCAGTGAGTGACAAATCGGCCTACGAGAACTATCATAACGGCTCAAATTTCGGCGTAAATGTTGATTAAGGTTTTATATGGCTACTATAAAACTTTATTCCACTAAGGTGGGTATTTTAAAGGCCCTAGTTGAAATATTCAGTTGATTTTGCAAAAAAATAAGAACAATGTCATTGCAACAAATGTTGTTATAAATAATTTATAATTCGTCTATTGAATATTATTTATATTGGCCTGAACCACACCTATGAAATAGTTATTCCTCATGATGATACAAATCTTCTTCTTTATTAATTTTTTATTTTTTGGACCTTTAAATATTAATTAATATTATAATAATATGAAACTAATCCTTCCATAATAAAATATTTATTTTTAGTATAAATCAGATACTCCCTACTTTAAGTTGAATATATTCAGTTCCACATTCCATTCATTACTAATCTCTGATTGAAAGCAAACATTTTACTAACATTGAATTAATATTTGGAACATATCTCAAATTCCGTATTTAAGGTTGTTCCATAATTGTTCCATAATCTATTTTTAATACAAACCTGGATTAGATTTGAATGATAAATTATTCCTTTGAGATTTTCGTTGTGGGCGATGATTAATATTCAAAGAATTTTCAGTGAATTTCTTCTGACATTTTATTGACATTCCTTTGATTGATTTGTTAAAACAATATCATGAGCTATGCCACTGTAATCACTCATGCATGCATGGTTTAGGGGCGAGCTTATGTACACAAATATTTAGGAACATACGTACGTACGTACACAATCGGCATAGTATATGTATGTATGTACTTAGAACAAATAGCAATCTCGTCATAGAAATCAACACACACACTCACTCACTTAATTGAACTCTAGAACACTTGTTTTATTTGCACTTTGAATCTGAAAAAAAATCATAGAAGAGCTCCTATGTGCAGAGGCACCTCCATGTAGCACGTACACACGCACACAAACACACCCTCAACTTGCCAATACATATCCGCTCGGATGACTGGTTGTTTGACTAGGACAGGAAGTGAAGTACGTTTCTTGTGGTTTGTTGTGTTTTCATTTCTACGACGTTCATAACAACAATAATAACGAGGACGAGGACATGCACGCGACTGACAAGAGAAACATCACACATTTGGCGTCATATTTCCTACGACCAGCCGGGATATTTGATAGCTGGCAATGTTATTAACCGGCGTCAGACGATTCCCTCAAATATGCGCCTGCTTTGAGATGTCTGTGTTTACACAGTGTGGCTGAAATGAGTATTTCTAATATATATACATACAAACACACATACACACCTAGGATATCTATGTATATATTTACACAAGTATGATTGTTATATTCATTTATCTATCAAATTACGGCAACCCAAATAAGCTTCTCTTGATGATACAATTAAATTTTCTTCAAATTTCCATTGCCTAGACAACTGGTTTTTTTTTGATACATTTCATACAAACACACGACACAAACAAAACACAGATAGACACACACAAATACACACACTCACAATTTCGGTTGTGAGGGAGTTAAATTTCAGATAGCGTTACTTTAAACTTTGATAACTTCTTTGAAATTTCACCTTGATCCGAACGCACGATATGAATTCCACTAAAGACACCCGCTTACTGAACGTGAGTTTTCTTTGTGATATCTAATCAGGATAATGAAGAAAACTGAAACAAGTTCCACATTAAAGGACGGCGCATGTTCTCTGTCGTTTGCCGCTTTCGAATCCTTTGGATCCACCATTGGGAAACGATGTCAACAAGTTGCTACATTGTTTCACCAACAGTACGATAAGAATCGAGGAACTTATTTGATACGCGCATGTTTTCTCTTTCTCTCCATCTCTCAGATGGAGGACTGTTGTTTTTATAAATACAAAATTTAAAAAGATGATGTTTAAGATAAATCAATTTATCAAACAATAATAAAGGGGCTTCATGCAAGGAATGACAAGGAATATTATTTTGACTTTTATGGGATACAAATTTATAAATGAGAACTGGTAGAAGTCGTCCTTTGGATTTTCTAATTGTAAACTAGCATTAAAGGTAATTTTTAGCGATTTCGAGAAAAAAAAACAACTATATATATTTATACCCTCAGCCATATGGCTAGAGGGTATATATCATTTGATACGGCCAAAACGTGCCTAGTCGAAATAACGGTTTTAGACCCTAGGTCTCTTTGGACCAAATCCGTTTCAGAACATTTGGGGTCGATCTAGCGATGTCCGTCCGTCCGTCCGTCCGTCTGTCTGTCTGTCTGGCTGGCTGGTGCGCACGATAACTCTCGAAGGGAGTATCCGATTTGGTCCAAATTGGCTACAACGTAATATTTTTGTCAAACTTAGATCGAGTTCGGAGATGGGCTATATCGGTCCACTCCTTCTGGTACCTCCCCCACAAAAGGTCGAAATTTTAAAAAAATATATTTTTTGCACAGGAAGAGAAAGGATAATCCGAATTTGCTCCAACTTTGCAAATCCTAATATTTGCGTCAGTGCTAGGGCAGGTGTGGAAATGGACAATATCGGTCCACTCCATCAAGTACCTCCCCCACAAATGGTCAAAATTTTGAATAATTACAACTCTCATAAAATGTTATGTAATAGTCCGATTGTCTTCAAATTTCATACATACCAATATTTATATTAACCCAAGGTCTGGTGTTAAGATGAACAATATCGGTCCACTCCTTCTGGTACCTCCCCCACAAAAGGTCGAAATTTGCAAAAAAATTATTCTTTGCACAGAAAGAGAAGGGAAAATCCGATTTTGCTCCAAATTTTGCAAATCCTAATATTTGCATCAGTGCTAGGTCAGGTGTGAAAATGGACAATATCGGTCCACTCCATTAAGTACCTCCCCCACAAATGGTCGAAATTTAGAATAATTACAACTCTTAAAAAATGTGATTTAAGAGTCCGATTGTCTTCAAATTTTACACATCCCAATATTTATATTAACCCAAGGTCTTGTGTTAAGATGAGCAATATCGGTCCATTCCTTCTGGTACCTCCCCCACAAAAGGTCGAAATTTGCAAAAAAATATATTTTTTGCACAGAAAGAAATGAGATAATCCGATTTTGCTCCAACTTTGCAAATCCTAATATTTGCATCAGTTTTACGTTAGGTGTAAAAATGGGCAATATCGGTCCACTCCTTCTGGTACCTCTCCACAAAAGGTCGAAATTTGCAAATCATATATTTTTTGCACAGAAAGAGAAACGATGATCCGATTTTGGGCCAACTTTGCAAATCCTAATATTTGCATCAGTGCTAGGTCTGGTCCAAAAATGGACAATATATGTTCACTCCTTCAAGTACCTCCCCCACAAATGGTCAACATTTTGAATAATTACAACTCTCATAAAATGTGATTTAACAGTTCGATTGTCTTCAAATTTCACCCATCCCAATCATTTTATAAGTCAAGGTCTGGTGTTAAGATGGAGTATATAGGTCCACTTCTTCTGGTACCTCCCCCACAAATGGTCGAAATTTTAAAAATATATATTTTCTGCACAGAAAGGGAAGCAATAATCTAATTTTGAAAAACATAACACTCAAAGAAAGCGAAATAAGGATCCAACTCACTTCAAATTTCACACATATAATAATTTTTGCTAACACCAGATCTATTGTGAAGATGCTATATAACTTCGAACACCTTCTGGCACCTTACCCACAAAGGGACACAATTTTCAATATTTTCATCTATCATAAATTGCGAAACAACTCAGCGATTCTTTACAATTGCTATATCCATCTACTATAATTTATTTTTATATATATATTTAGTTTTATAAATAATAATATTTATATCATATTTATTTAGGTGGGATACGAAATGGATAATATTGATCGATTCTTTCAAAACCCACTCCATAGAGGGTGAATAGGGCTGAGGGTATACATCTGTCGGCAAAACCGGCCGATACTTTTTTACTTGTTTTTTTGTCATATTTGCGAATAATTTGGAAAAATGTTGTTAAAAAACAGGCTGGAAAAGTTGTTTTTAGACAAATATATCTTGCTTGAAAAATCACCATCTTTGCTTGAAAAACCACTCTCTTGTAAGAAAAGGGCAAATCCTGAATTAATCGTATATAAATCGTTTTTATACCCTCCACCATAGTATGGAATTTGTCATTCTGTTTGTAACACATCCAAATTTACGACCCCCCAGATTTAAGGCAGATTTAAGGACTTTTGACTGTTTTAGTCACAATTTAAACTAGCATTTCATGATATTCGTTATTTTGATGATTTGTGCACACTTTCCGTCTGTCTGTTTGTTGAAGTCACAATACAGCCCACATTATCTGATGTAGCGCCTCAAAAACTGGCAGAAGAATTTGTACTGTGTCCAGAATAGTTGGTATTGAAATCGGTCCACGTTTTGATATAGCCACCATATAACGGTACCTCCCTAAATTGGGTATTTTGCTGATTTTCGACACATTTTTTCACTGATATGTCTACCAATTGGTACTTGTAGGTCATACCTCAGTGGCGAAACATTGTATGTATAGGTCCACGTTTTTGTACAGCTCCTATATAACGGTACCTCCCCATTTTCGGTATTTTGATGATTTTTGCCACAATTTCTCAGGGATTCGTCCCAAAATTTATATTTGTAGTTCATATTGGGTTATCCGGTGGCAGAACATTAAATATTTAGATTCACGTTTTCCTACAGTATTGTTACCACCGATATTCCGAATTTTTATAATTCTAGTAAAATTTACACACGAAATTGTTTCAAATTTGGTATTCACGAAGGTTTGGTAGATAACAATCCTTGAAATATATAGATGTTCCGTTTTGGTATAGCCCCCATATAATGGCCTTATCTACTTCATGGTTTTTTGAAAAGTTAAAGAGCATCATCCAAATGGGCTTACTAATATTTGTAGTTTAATCTATATATATATATAAAAGAAAGTTGTGTTAGTTACTACGCGTAAAAATGTGAAATTTGAAGATTTTCATTTTGACTTTTGAAGTGTACAATAGTAATGTTTTATTTTGCATGATTTTTTCCATTTTGACTTACTATTTTGGAATGTACATTTGTAGTGTTTTTTTTTTTTTTTTTTTGTTTTTTGAATTCTAATATGATTTGTAGTCTTTTTGGGTAGTATAAAGCGACGACAATTATGGAGTGGCGGACCTTAATAGATGATGTCAAAATAATTTAACGTGGTCAAACCAAAGTTAAAAGATAATTACTTTTTTCAAAATTGCTAAAAAATCAAAAAAGAGCCTATTGCATTGCAAAAACTCTAAAATCGGGAAAAAATAGAGAATATTTTGCAATGGAATCAAATTTCAAAATAATAGTAAGGACTAAACTTCGTAAGGACCTTTAAACATTCACTGTAAATAAACAGCAAACAAGTTTCAGATTTTTTTCAATTTTTTTTTTTTAGTTACTATGCTTATAACTCAGGAACGTTTTGACGGATTTTCACAATTCATACAACTTTGGAATGGAATCTTGGCAAAAAAAAGCGTAAAATATGCCAATAAAAAAATATAAAAAAATCATTTGGCGTGAAATTTTTTCAATTTAAAAACTACATAAAAGTGTACATTTTTTATTGTTTCGAATTCTGAATGAATAATATCAAAAACGAAATGGTACGCAATACGATGTTAAATGGCGATCTTTCATGTCTGAAATTGGCATTTAGCTTTCAACTCCAGGATCTACATCGTGCTTCAGCTAGAAGATGCTAACATATTTAAACAAACAAAAATAACCGACAAAACGTTATGGGGCTCATTTCAAAACGTGTACCTACCTACTTCTTTCACATGACAATAATCCGTCCAATGAGAACTTAATATGCAAAATTCATTGGGACTTCAATCATGAAATACCTAATATTCAGAAATTCTTCCTAAACTTTCACGATACCTTAAATCTCTTTTGCAGTTTATGATATGGGTCATAACCCCCGGATAAGGATACAACCAGATTTCAAGTATATCTTACATTTTAACTATATCTTTATACTAATTTCGGCAAATGTTGGTAATTTGGGAAAAACCATCCTTGCAAAAACTGATTAGGTTTTGTATAACCATCATATGATTTAAGGAACCGGACATTTCTTTAATCGTCTTTGAATTGTACTATGATAAAAGATATAGACATTATGGCAAATATTACATATTACTTTAAAAACAAGTAAAAAAATTAAGTTCGGATGGGCAGAACTATTATTATCATCCATCTTAGGGTAAAGAAAACATT